ACAGCTATAAGCTGAAGCTGAAACAAGCACACAATTTCTTACAAACCCCGCTTTTTGACGAGTAAAGAGGGTTTGCGTTTATGAGATTTCTGGTTCTTCTGATTGGGGTACTTTTGGAATTTCAAGCTTGCTTTATGGTTTATGAGTTTCATGTTTCCTAATGGTGTTTAATGAAAAAAATCATTCTATAGTTGGTCTTTCGGCGTCCTCATCTGGGAGGTGACCACTCTGGGTGACGCACCCTATGCAAAGGAAGTCGGAGAGGGAGCCACCACGCTATGTCACTATTTGCTGAAGGGACTCCGCTTGGAGATCCCGATCGATGTCTCTTCGACTCTGTTCGTTTTTGAAATCCTCTCAAAAGCTTTAACAAACCTGTCTCTTTTAAACACTCAAAAAGTAGCCTTTTGTGAGAATTTTCAGAATAATTTGATCAATTTGATCGGCTACAAGTTATGGTTTTAGCAGTTTAAGTAGAAAATAATTCGGAAAAATTATCATTAAAATCATAGGATCAATAATCGGAATTGAATATTACAAATGTTTCAGAAAAGATATCATGACCAAATGCTGGCAAAGCGATCCGAGCGAGCGACCGCGTTTCATAGAGATTCTCGCCGAGCTCCAGTGCTTCATCAAACAAGACGAAGGAGTGTGGAGTTCAGAAAAATTGGACAATATTCCTTTGTGAATTTTTTGGAATTTTTAAAAAAAATTAATAGTTGCTTTGTGAAACAAAAAGCCCTCACTTTTCCGTTGAGATTTTGTTTAATAATTGATAAGAAGAGACCGTGATGTGTGATCTATGTTTGAGCTACATTTAAGCATTTATTTAATCTTTATTGTTAAAACACAACGACAAAAACACACCATTATTTTGAAAGCTTTAAATTAGCTTTTCAACAAACTCAACACTAGTTTAAACACGACATTCTTGTTTTGAGCGTTTTTTAAATTAATAAATTGTTGCTTTGCGAAACAAAAAGCCCTCAAAAAAAAGAGAAAAATGCAAGTTAAAAGTCTACATTTCGTCACATGGCTCCTTCAACAAGCTTTTGAAAATCACGCAACAAAAAGTGTCAAAAGACTCAGTCGCTAGACTAAAATATAGCTAAAATCTATCTAATATTAATGTACATCAAGTACTTATTGCTTTCAGGAGATCGAGCGGGTCAGTCCAAAGTTGCAATGTTGTTGTTGTTCAGCCAGTCGCGGGTGTCTCCGTCTGATCTGTCTGATTTTTGTAGGCAGCCGTTTGTGCTGATGGAACGGTCGCTCTGGAGATGGTTTCGAATCGGATGACTGACTCGGATGACTGTTGCCATTTTTGCTCCTAAATCCAACCGTTCCCGATTTCTTTCAATACAACAACGCGTCAATTCATCGAGCCGGAGACACCCGCAACTGGCTGAACAACAACAACATTGCAACTTTGGACTGACCCGCTCGATCTCCTGACGTCAATCCGATAGGGAATTTATGCGGATAGATAGGGAATTCTCGACAATTATGGGCCACCCTGTAAATTCTTTTTAGCCAATCAAAACAAGAATGTCATCGCTCGCTCGGATCGCTTTGCCCGCAACTTGCCATGATATTTTTTCTGAAACATTTGTAATGGCCTATTCCTATTATTGTATTATTTTAATGATAATTTTTTTCGAATTATTTGCTACTTAAATTGCTAAAACCATAACTTGTGGTCTATCGGCGACAGAATTGATCAAATTATTTTGGGATTTTTCACATATTAATTTTAGTAATTTTAGAATTTTAGAAAATCTTGGAAAGTAAAACTCAACCCTTAACCCTGATTTTTTTTCATCTCTCCCTACTAATGTTTTCGCGACAAGAAAGATTAGTTTTTTCAGTCATTTTTTTTTCATTTTTCTTGACCCTCTCACTCCTGATCAAACACTAAAAACCTAAAGTTGCAAAGATGACATTCACATCAACAATGATCTACGTTGTGGTGGCTTTATTGGGTTTATTTCGACTTGTTATTTCCGAGAATCGAATGGTCATTTTATCTTTATCATTTTAACAACCGATTTCCCCTCCTACTCCGAGCACAATCACGAATTTTCGGAAGTAAAACTCAACCCTTAACCCTGACTTTTTTCGTCTCTCCCTAGTTTTTGCAGTAATGTTTTCGCGACAAGAAACTCCTTTCTGTGACTCACTAAGTTGTATTATAGGAAAATTCTTTCTACGTACAAGTTTTGTAGTTTGAAAACAGCTGAGAATGGAAGCGTGACTGGTCGGATTGGGCTCATTTGAGGGTCTGAAAAATGGACCATAAAACTCCAATCAAAGATCTTTTGGTACAGAAATGTAGGCAAGGATTCAGGCTTCAATTCTCTATATAACACTTAGGCTTTTGAATTGATTGCGACGTTTGGCATGAAATCTGCTGAAAAGATGTTTCCGTGATTTTAGCGCACCTTAAAATTTCCGGTCCCAACGGAGACTACCACATTATCATGGCTTTCAATTAGCAAACAATTTTCCCGATTTGTTGGAACGATTTTCGATCATCCACTATATTTTAGTTTCCAAGAATTTTGACTGCTATTTTAGCGCCGATTTGATGCTTGATTTTGGTTCCTAATAAAGTCTTTTTAAAATGTACTTGAAATATTTCATGATATGAACCAGATTTATTCATCCATCCCTAAACAAAGTACAACAGTTAGAATATACAAAAACAACTCATGCACACACTCAGCAACCCTTTGTCAGTAATTGGCTTTCGTTGAAGCTCGAAAGTTTTTGGGTGATCGTCTGGAAGGTGGGTCGGTTTGTGAGACGGGTTTTCCAACAAGAAGTCATCACTTCCGAACTGGAAAGTTATTTGTAAATAGATAAGAACTGAAGATTAGAATTATCCCTTGAATAGGTCTCACATTTGTGTCGGTGTCCGGTGCGGGGGTACCAATCGAAAGCCTTTCTTCAGCTCGCCGAGCAGTCTTGATGGCTCCAGATCCTCGTAGGGCGTGTCACCGAAAGAGAACATTTCCCAGAGAAGAACCCCAAATGACCAGCTGAAAGAGCTTTTTCTGTGAAATCACCGAATGTTGTGAACTTTTCATTATTATTATTATTATTCATTATTTATATTAATATTCAAGAGTTATTAAGAACTTTACGGTGACATCTCTGAAGCTTACACATCAGCTTTCTCGGTAAATATACCGAACTCGATTGCCTCAAGAGCCGTCCATTTGATGGGGAGACAACCGCCATGCGAAGTGTAGAGCGCCTTATTTGAGCTACGACTCAGCCCGAAGTCGGAAAGCTAAATCGGTTATAATTTCGATGCATATGAAATGGCTAAATTTTTTAGTCATTTTTAATGTTTAGTTCATTGTAAATCCCGATCACAACCTTAGATGTTTTTTGCGAAGTAAGCAGAATATTGCGCGCCGCCACATCACGATGGAGGACATTTTTGGAGGCGAGGAACTCCTGGAATGTGGAGTGAAATTTTTGCTACTGAAAAAGGATCTAGAAACTGAAACTTCGAGAAAGTGAAAATACAGAGCAGCGCCTAACCAGTGCACTCGCCACCTCCCAGGCGATTCGATACAGATCCTCAACGAAAATTACATTGGTTGCAATCTGAAACGTCTGGATAACAGAACATGCTCATATGAAAACAAAAATCTACAGTCAAACCTCGATGATATGAACGAATGAAAGGTTAATAATAAACGTTTTTTCCAGATTCGCAATTAACGAGGATTGATTATAGAAATGTATTAAGACTCCGTCTTGATAAAACTTTAGTACTTTCTATTGGGTTGGGGAGAATGAGTCGGCGCCGAAAATCAAAGAAATTTCTAAAACTTGTAGCAGACTTTGTCAAATGATATGCGTTTGATATCCGTAGAAGGGTAACTAATTCTCTACAAAATAATATTTAAAAGAGAACTCAAACAGCGCCTCAACTCAACAAAGGATCATTTTTTCACAAAATCGATAAACTGTCATCTAGAGTAAACGGTTGGAGGGATCTTCCTGAAAATTTGGTAACTTATGTAATTGAGTGTGCTCTATCTTTTTTATATAAACACCAAAGGAGGTTTATGTGGAAGAAACTGTTCAAGCAATGAGTCGGACTTTTTGTCATTTTGATTAGCTGTGTTTGGGAATCCATAAAATCCCAAAAAAGAAAAGCTTTGTGGAATCTCTCAAAAGCCATTTTGTAAAGAAATAGTGGACCATTTTGATGAAACAAAACGTGTATTTAAAGAAGGTTTTATGGGTGCAAAAAGTTTCTTTAAATTTTGGCGCCGACTCATTCTCCCCAACCCAATAGCTAATACTCTATAAAGATACTTGATGGTCGGTTCGCTTGATGCTGACCAGCTGCGTGTGCAGATTGCCAAAAGCACAGAATTCGGTCAAAATGGACGGATTGTCAAGACTAGAGGAGCATCCCAGAATCGAGAGTAGATATGGATGGAAACCGATCGATTTCATTGTGAAGATCTCTTGTAAAAAGTTGGCTCTAAAAAGTGTCAAGTCTCGTGTCACTTTTGAATGCTAGATCCTATCACAGTCGAAGCTGTATCTAGTGGAATAAAAGAGTTTGAAAAACTTGATATTATCGACCGTACTTAAAGAAAAATATACTATCACTCCCCTAAGCATCTTCTCCTTATTCTGCTACTCTTTTCTTATTCTACTAAAATTTAAAAGACGAACACATCCTGTGGAGTGGCCGGCTTTTTGACAGCGACCTTTACGAACGTTTGATTGGATGAGAAGTGCTTCTAAAAGATTTACTTTCAGCCTTTAAAAGTGGAAAAGAGAAGAGGAGGCAAATTTAGATTCTGATTTAGATTCCGGTGATTCCGGTGCGTTCTTGATCAGGCTGTCAGGCAAGCCTTTAAAGACGTAAGACTGATTGGCCTCGACCTTGATTGAGATCCTAGGTGTACTGTGTTTTAAATTGATTAAAAGAAAGAAAATGTCAAAATGTTTTCCTCTATTCAACAAGCCTCTAAATCGCGATTCGCGAGTAGACACGGCAGCGTTCCACGGTACTCTCCGTAGTACACATCGGAGAAACCTCCTCGACCGATTCGATTCGAAATCGTCAATTGCAGCGAATCGATCTCCCATGGGTCAACGCTTCTGAATATTGGTGAAAAAGTTGAAATTGTACATCATCTGCCATGCATGATTACACAAACAGCAAAGCTGGGCTCATGCCTTCATGTGCAACAATGAAGGCTTTAATAGCAAAGTTGTTGTAATTCCTCACCTGATGTATTCGATCTGGGAACCTTGCTTTTCGCTGAATTTCATTGAAAATTTGAAAAAAACAGAGACAAACTTGCAGAGCTGGTAGGTGTAAAAAATGAGCTGTGAAAGGAAGACGACAATTGCGATTGGAATGAAGATGTAGAAGAGTTTAAAGGACTCTCTCGTCTCTTCGATCTCCTCAACAGGCCTTGTCGGTTCGATGAAACATTCCGGCAAAGAGACATCGAATGAGGTGAGCCGATAGAAAACCGAGAATCGACTCGAATTTTTTTGATTTCGGAGTCCATGTGTGCTGAAGAAAAAATAAAAGGATTCATAATCAGGGTCTATTTCGGGCAAGGAGCGCAACCGTGAATAACTCAAAACTTAAAATCCTAAATGGTCCTCTACCAGGGAGTAGTTTGAGAGCCTTTTCTCCGAGTCTTCCACCCTCATTTTTTCTAGGGTCCTTCCGAGTAATCGCTTTCTAAAACGCGCTTCGAAGGGAAAAACTACTGTAATTTAACGGCTGTGGCTTGCGTGCTCTCTCGAAAGGGAACAGCTGTTAGGCGGCAACTTCGGTACCCTTTCGAGTTAAATCGCGTAGAGATTGTTGCCTTCACATCAAAGGTCAACTACCTTGTGAGATCTGACAGATCTCAGAACAAATGAACTTGTTTTCTCAAGAACTAAAGGCACATCACGAGTCAGTGTTTTTCATCAAGCCACTATTTTGCATAGTAAAGGGTAACAATTGAAACGAGTTGACGATTGCCACGGCAACTCACGTACAGTGTGTCTTAGCTTTTCCAAATAGAACACTCCCCGTCAACTCTTACCATCAACTCGTCGGCTTGAAGACACAAAAGAAATGGGCCATTTTCAGTGATCCTAAAAGAGCACAAAAATCATGTTTGACCGCTGTAAATGTACTCACTGAAACTCTTTCGTTTGTTCACTGTTGCTGTCATTGAGGCGAATGATGAGAATTCCACCTTCAAGATCCCGAATCTCGATCATCAGTTGAGGGGCATCGGGGAGATCATCTAAAAAGCAGTCAGCAGTCAGACATATTTTATAAATTTTTAGTCAGCACTGTTCAAAAAAATTGTTGTACTATAAGTTGTTTGACTATTTTTTGCACCATTTACAAGCCTTAACATTGGATTTGTTAAATCCTTGACGCCAGAATTATGAGACACCCTCTATTCGTAAACCTTACACCTCAACTCGTGTTTTGTCTGAATGTAATGCCCCAATCCACTCCACATAACTGACCAGTCAACGTGTAGGTCCTATTGATTCTTTCAGCCGAGTGTTCCGGATAGTCCACACTCATATCACCGAAGATCGCCGGCGCTGCAACGATCTCATTTTGTGTCTCGTCGTTTCCCTCTTTTTGTTGATAGGTGAGCGTCCCGAAACAAGTGCCACCGTGCAACCAGAAGGTCACCGTCGACATTCTCCAAAGAAGGTTTACGGCCAAATCGTCATATCTGAACGATTGAATACAAGGTTTGGCATATACAGTGTGGTGCAGAACCATACGCCACCCTCTAAATTTCAATTTTCTGCGGCTTCCGTGCCAGTGGCGAAAAAACTGAAAACGTAGTTAGATTCAGGACAAAAATAACCCTTAAACTCCAAACATCTTCAATATAGCATGAATAGGAAAAACGTGACAGCCGAAAAACGATTCACCTGGTGCAAAACCAAATCTTGGGGTCGTTTAATACTTTTTTTCTGGTTCAATAGCTAAATCTGCCTCTGGCAAGCATAACTCTCGCCCTTTCACTTCAGATTCCTTACAAGGAGGCCTCAAGAGCTTACGTTGTCTTACTTCAACTTCAAAAAAACAATGCCGAAAGCAACTCAACTCGACCTCATGCAAAACTTGAAATATGAATTTCCGAGATAAGTCGTCGAATCAATCGCTCAAGACTGTATCAACCGTTACCTCAAAGCTTCACTCAAGTATGGTACTTCAAATCCGAATAGTCGTCACAAGAAGCTCTCCAAACGGGCCGAGCGCCATATCAGAAACAAAGCCTCAAACTCTACGAGGTCGGCAAACGAATTCAAACGGCAAACGACGTGAGCAGTCGCCAGGGACAGAGAACAAAATATTAAATTGCTATTGTTATGAATAAACCTCGCTATCTCAAAAAATAAACAAAAATGCAACAACGACACAAAAATTTGGGGAGGGGGTAGCGTATGTTTTTGCACCGAGGCGATTTTCGTTTTTCGGCTGTTACGTTGTCCCGATCCATGCTATGACGAAGATTTTTGGGGTTTAAGGGTTATTTTTGGGCCTGAATCCTTAATACCGAAGCATCAACTATGCTATGCAAACCTTGGTACATCGAAAACTTTGCGTTGATCCCGTTTGTCTGGTGATGGGATCGGGCCAGCAAATGCATCGTAGCGACACTGATCGATTGTGCCGTTACCCTAGAAATTGAAGATTTCTATAAGCACTAACAGAATGGCAGATCGGATTAGGGTTAGGCTCAGAGTCAAACGCTCACGATGTAAAGTTCGGGTGTGTAGATGTGCTTCCCACGGGGAGCAACGAGGGTCAAATAGTGGCCATAGGTCGTATCCCAACCCCAATAGATTATCGCATATTTGAGCTCGAAGCCGGAGAAGTCCTCCACACCGACAACCGGCGCATTGTCATCTGGAATTTGTCCCGATATTTGGAGTATTTTGATGACAAGCTTCACACATATTACGCCCTTCTTTCTAGATCCTAGATCCCAGACACCCACACTTAACGACGTCTTCTCGAAAAACCGAGTAGGCGAAGAGGCAATCACAATGCTTAACGGGAAGCGTCAACCGGATTGTTGCATTCTCTCTCACAGCGTTCACCATGTAGAAGCAGTACTGCATCGGGCTCTTTCGACTAGAGTGTAACTACGAATAATCCTCTTAATAGTAAATTAAATATCTTTAGATTTGAAGGGAATTTTGCCACCAAATCAGTCAACGGCTGCGTTATCTTTAAAAAGGGTCGTATATAGCGCCGTAGTAGCCAAAATTAGAGGGAGCTCCTCGTGGCCAAATTAGCATAATTTGGTTAAAAAATAATTAATTGCATAGTGTCTGATTAGTTACTGCATCAATGCAAGTCAGTTAATTCACCTTGCTTTCGACTTCTCCCTTTCTTTTCCTTTTTTTGCTCTAGTTTGCTACTCATATCAACAGAAACCTAGCAGGGTACAACTTTACACCTCAAAAAAAGGAAAAAAATACCCACCATCTATCACCGTCTAAATCATTTTGGGTGCTACTGTAAGTCGGCGCCTCAGCTTTCTTCGCAGTAATTTTTTGCAATGATTCTAAAAAGCATGGTAATTTTTTAGCGTTTTAAATAACACCTCCGGACTACTGAAGTTCTCAGAAACACTCGCAAGGGGCTCAGTATATTCATATCCGTATTTTTTTATTTATCAAGTTTTGCTGTTCTGAAGGAAAAAACAGTTTGCAATTGAATGGTTTAATAAACAGAAGCAAACTTTAGCCAGTTGATGTGGTCGGGATGCTGCTCTTTGTCATCGATGTAGAGCGGGAAGATGAAATTATCGTTGCACTGGCATGAGCCTTGATTGTTCGTGTCGGTGCTTGTGTGGATGCCGACCGAGACGAGAAATGAACAGTTCCCGGCACAATCGCTTGCGTGAACGGTCAATTGCTAAAGGTGGCAACTAGAGTTCTAATCAAATATAACTAGTTAAATTGTGAGCACTTGTCAAAGCAATCAAATAATCAAAATTCGTGGACTTTCAAAATTTTTAATCTGGGATCTTTATTCATTTTTAGGTTCCCAAATGTATCTTATATTCATTTTTAATAGCCCATAACTCGACAGCCCTTTTTATAAGTTCACCATAGTCTCGCGGAAATCGTGACTGTGCTCAGAGTAGGAGGGAAAATCGGTTGTTAAAATGACCACTCGATCCTCGGAAGTAACAAGTCGAAATAAACCCGATAAAGCCACCACAACGTAGATCATTGTTGATATGAATGTCGATTTTAGGCGTTTGATGTTGGGTTACGAAAAATGAAAAATGACTGAAAAACGCTAATCTTTCCATTTGCCTCATCGTTATCAAAAAACAAGCAGTATTGAGCGAAACAATACAGCTTAATACAACTTAGTGAGTCACAGAAAGGAGTTTCTTGTCGCGAAAACATTACTGCAAAAACTAGGGAGAGACGAAAAAAGTCAGGGTTTAGGGGTTGAGTTTTACTTTCCAAAATTTCCACTTTCGATGAATTGACGCGTTGTTGTATTGAAAGAAATCGGGAACGGTTGGATTTAGGAGCAAAAATGGCAACAGTCATCCGATTCGAAACCATCTACAGAGCGACCGTTCCATCAGCACAAAAGGCTGCCTACAAAAATCAGACAGATCAGACGGGGACACCCGCGACTGGCTGAACAACAACAACATTGCAACTTTGGACTGACCCGCTCGATCTCCTGAAAGCAATAAGTACTTGATGTACATTAATATTAGATAGATTTTAGCTATATTTAGTCTAGACGAGTCTTTTGACACTTTTTGTTGCCTGATTTTCAAAAGCGGAGGGCAAGGCAGGACGAAATGAGACTTAACTACACCGGGGCTGTTCGCAAAGCAACAAATTAAAAAACGCCAAAACAAGAGCGCAAACTATGGTTGACTTTGTGAAGCTAATTTAAAGCTTCAAAATAACGTGTTTTGTCGTTGTGTTTTAACAGTAAAGAAAAAATGCAATTAGCCAACATGACACACACACGTCTCTTCTTACATTATACCCCGGGGGGGCTTTTTTCACAAAGTAACAATTTATTAGCTTTTTTAAAAATTCCAAAAGAGCATCACAAAGGGATATTGTCCAATTTTTCTGAACTCCACACTCCTTCGTCTTGTTTGATGAAGCACTGGAGCTCGGCGAGAATCTCTACGAAACGCGGTCGCTCGCTCGGATCGCTTTGCCAGCATTTGGTCATGATATCTTTTCTGAAACATTTGTAATATTCAATTCCGATTATTGATCCTATGATTTTAATGATAATTTTTCCGAATTATTTTCTACTTAAACTGCTAAAACTATAACTTGTAGCCGATCAAATTGATCAAATTATTGAATCATTGAATTATTGATCAGAATTGATCAAATTATTCTGAAAATTTTCACAAAAGGCTACTTTTTGAGTGTTTAAAAGAGACAGGTTTGTTAAAGCTTTTGAGAGGATTTCAAAAACGAACAGAGTCGAAGAGACATCGATCGGGATCTCCAAGCGGAGTCCCTTCAGCAAATAGTGACATAGCGGGGTGGCTCCCTCTCCGACTTCCTTTGCATAGGGTGCTTCACCCAGAGTGGTCACCTCCCAGATGAGGACGCCGAAAGACCAACTATAGCATGATTTTTTTTCATTAAACACCATTAGGAAACATGAAAGTCATAAACCATAAAGCAAGCTTGAAATTCCAAAAGTGCCCCAATCAGAAGAACCAGAAATCTCATAAACGCAAACTCTCTCTACTCGTCAAAAAGTGGGGGTTTGTAAGAAATTGTGTGCTTGTTTCAGCTTCAGCTTGTAGCTGTCTTGCCCCCGCCACTTATCCATAAGAAATAAATTGGCATACATCCTTCAATTTGCATACGAACTAAAAATTCGATTTTGCGTCGATTGAACGAAGATATCAAAAAACGGATCACAGATTGTAACCCAGATATCTCGCGTTACAGGCCTCGAGGGCAAAAACCGAAAACGGATTCGGAATCACCGTAATCGATTCTATAAGATGGAGGTTTTTTAAAAGGTCACGGGCACCTGGCAACATTTCCTAGTTAGAATCTGGGCGAGCGCGGGCTTATGTGAATCTTGTAATCACCGAGTAGAAGTAGGAATTTTGAGAAACTTTCAATTACAAAACTGTTCGAAATCATCAAAATAAAGAGTTGGCAAGTATGCTGAGAACTAAAGTTCACATGAATAACATGGAAAGGATCGGTAAAATGTCTTTGCGGTTTATAGCAGACTTGCGGTTGTTCAATGTCATGTTTCTTCTCCCTTTTTTGCTTGACTATAAACATCTCTGTTCTGCTCAATTTCGGCTTTATGGGGAGCCTAATTCAAGCTTTCTTCTGGACAAAGAGGTAGCATTCAAATACGTACACATCGGATTTCTCGGAAAAGCTCAACGCTTCAAGCACCTCCACAGCAGCCCAAGCGTCGTCGTTAATGCTCTCACATAAGGGCTCCTCATTTTTCACATTTTCAAAAGTTGCTTCCGAAAAATTGGAAAGCTAGAATTTGATTTTGAGCCTCAATAAATTTCTTTTATCAACTTTTGTCACTTTGTCACCGTTGAGCAAAACACTCTCGGCTCGCACTGAGCGATGGATGATACCGATTGAGGAGAGGTAAGCCTAAATACGAGAAAGTTTGATTTGGCTAGG